TTACACTAATTCATACCAAAGATTAAGTGAATAACTTGAGGTTCCAGAGCCGCTGTTCTCACCAAAGTCGCTCTGAGAATACGATGTGTCGAAGATCGCTTCAGTAGCCTCTGTGATACCAATACTATGGTCTGCAATGCTGCATGCACTACTTCCTCCACCAGTCATCATCACGGCTCCAATCTGCATCATTCCAGTCACACCAGAAGGACAGGTAATCCCAGCCTGAATCCTTTAGTGGATCTGAAGGAGCCACTATCATCGCAATTTACAGAACAACTTCGACGACACGCGTTACTGTTCCAGGTGATGCTGTATCTGAACTAGTACCGAAGCTGGTAATAAAGCTTCTAAAAGTTCTCCCACTGGTACAGCTACTAGTTTCGAGTAGTCATGTGTTAAAACTGTCATCACTTCGAGAGACTTTGATATAGTAACTTGAAAGAGCCAAAACGCAGGCTATAATTGTTAGATGTATTGGTAGCACTGCCACAAAGTGTTGTTCGGTCATACCACCGGTTACCACTGTCCTCCAATTTGCACTGTCAGCATTTGAGAAGCGGGCGATGAGTGTCCAGCCACCCTTAGACATGTCACAGTACACCTTTAAATGTTAAACGGAGTAATGTCAGAAACTACATCATTATATAAATACCAATGAAACATCAGGTAAGCTTTCGCGCGAAAATATGTTATCTTCACACGTGAAAATAAATTTTCTCATCACCTGTATCGCTATTGGGAATCCGAAGAGAGGGCCGACTGATAGTTAAACGTATGGATTACCATGGTGCCTTACACTTTTGCTATGATCGGAATCAGCAATTTCTTTTTGAACTTCCTCGACAGTTTAAGAGTGGAAAACCGATATTTTGCTCCCAGCCATTGATTAAATTGGCGGCACTAAGCAAAAGGGGGAGTTGCCGGCAATGATCATGAGGAACATAGGCAAAGCAGCAAAGTAAGCATAGTCAAATTAAATAGGAAAACAAACAAAGCAATCTCACCACCGGTTGACAACCCCCGACACAAATAGTACCTTTTACGCTACATGAGGTTACTAAGTGAAAAAGGCAGACTTACCTGACAGACCCACTGCATGTTCCAGAGCTTAATTTTGAGGTAGGTCCGACAGTCAAACTAAATGTACCTAACTCACTACATCCAAGAGGAACAAAAATATCGAAGCAAGTAAGGTAGCGAATCGGACTGAGGAAAATGATTTGCCAGCCAATCAGAACACGGACAGACCTGGTTTCAACTAAAAAAACCCAAGCGCAGCATTTGTACTCTTTTGAGTCCTTAAAATTCCATTACAGTCCATGACTTTTTCCATGACCATTTCTAGTTTACCATGACCTTAAGTTTACATGTAGCTGTCATTTTCGCAACTTTTCAAAACTTTTCTTGTTTTAGCTATTTTTTTTTCACCTTAAACAGTTCAACAGAAACATACTCTGGTATCCACCAAAATGCGTGCCTTTCGAGCTGTTTAATTATTCCTCTTTATCTTATGTTATCCTTGCTTTATTATCTGCAGTAACTAATCTACCAAACAAAACTTTAACTAATTTTCCATAACTTTCAAGGACTGACACTTAAATTCCATGACCTGTACGAACCATGCAAGCGGCATTATCCGAAAAAAATAAGGGTGTAATACAACATGACATGTGTAAGAGAATTAAGAGCAGGAGAGAAAATACGACTTTGAAAGTTACCCCCCAGACTTTGATGTAATATTCTCCGTTACTAGTTCGTCCAGCTGAATAGTGATTTACACAAGACGTCGCTGTTGGATCTACAAACAATGAATAGCAACTGTAATACACACGGTTTATTTAGCAACTTACCTCGCATTTCATCTATTTAAGTATTTAAAAACACCCCCCAAAAAATACTAAAACCATCAAAACTTGATCACAATACTGAAGACTTCTACGCGAAAATAAATATACATAAGGCAGGACGAGCAGCCTTTCTTACCTTGGCAAAGTGAACCGGTCTAAGTACTTGTACATAAGCACGAGAAACAGTAAAACCCCACCCACGCATGTCTCATCGTTCTGACAAGGGTTGGACTGACATTTATCTGTTTCTGTTTAGGGACGGACCATTAGAAATAACCGGAGGGAGGGTGAAAAATGTTTGGTGCATGAATTTTTTAAAAGAGCCTGCTTGTCTGCAAGAATTTTTTTCTAGGGCATATGACTTATTGTTTTTAGGTATCACCGCTTGCATGATTTTTTTAGACAAGTTTCCCTTGCACGAATTTTTTTTTTTTGGGAATTGTCACGCCACTTCCGGTTATTTCCAATGGTCCTTCCCTTATTAGAAGATCCACAGATTGTGACCATGACGATTTAACAAGCATTGATGCGATAAGGATATTAGGTATTTGGGGACTCACATTATTTGCATTTGGTCGGCTATTTCAGTCTATACTACTGTTTGCAGCTGCTAAAAGTTTGAATTGTCGCGGAGTCACCTTTGTCACCAAAAAGTAAACAAAATCGAAAAAACAAAACGAGAAATAACCATATAGGTTTCAACAATGAGTTAAAAATATGTTTTCGTAACTTGACACTGGTTCCCATAGAATGGTGAAGAACATGTGCATGAATATTAATGTCATCAGTACAAGTTCCTCCACTCAAACAGGGACTGCTGTAACAATTAATCATCGAACTCTGAACAGTAGGGGAAAATACGGTGTCGGTGAGTCGTAATTTGAACAAAAAACTGAGTCTCAGTAAAGAGGGTTATGTCATGGTGAATTCAACTTCTTCTTTTTTTTTTTTTTAGTTAAAGCTGAGCTAAAATTATCAATAACTATTCCCAGTCGTCTTCGCTCCTATATTTCCAAAACTAAAGAAAAGATATCGAATGATTCTAACAAGAGGAAACAAAGCATGATCATTTATTTTTGACAACACAGGAGTTTAACTTGAAAAACTCGGCCCAAATTTTTTCAAGTTGCTGTCCGTTTCCATCCTGTCCCTTGAAACGCGCATGCTCTCCAGCTAACATAGCCCTTTTAATACAGACACCCCGTTAATACGGACACTTGCTACGGCCCCCTCAGTGGCCGTATTAACGGAGTTTGGCTGTAACTGATTCATATTCTGTTTAACTGACATTTGCGTCTCCTTGCGCATGCTGCTCTGGCGTAACTTTTCGCGACTCCCCGAATCGCAGTAGGGTAAAAAAAATCCGTGTCTCACCAAAAGCATGATTGGCTACAAAATACATTGCAAAGATTTTCCTAATAATCCTTGGGTAAGTTACGAAAGGTATCGAGAGGGAAAGTAGAACGAAAGAAATAGGTAAATGATGAAATAAAAACAAGACGAGGTGTGAGACGGGAAAAAAGAAAGGAAACTTTCACTCTGAAAGATAAAAGAATGCACTTCATTTCAGTTTCAATGTATTTAGTTCTTAACGTACTAATTGAGGACACTGCGAAAAGGAAGTACCTTTATTTCTCAGATATTTTTACACCCTAAGTATTGGTCCGGCCCCACAATTAGAGCCCGCGACTTCCCGCTCTGCAGTCAAGCGCTCTATTGACTGAGCTAATCCTGCAGCCGAGGTAGACAACACGCGAAAGCAGATGCAAGCCGTTACGAATCATATTTGGCATAAATGTCGTTTGATGATTGTAAAAGTAAATTGTTGAATTCAATATTTTTCATATCACCGGTTTCGTCTTTGTTGACTAGGGGAAAATAAAAATCAGTGCGTACAGCGGTCAGTATAACACGAATTAAATTCCTCCATTTTTTTCTCTTTTTACTTGAAACTATTTTGCACTGTTTGATAGATACTGTTTCACGAATTAATGTAAAAAAGCAAAAAGAAGAGCTTTATCCTCTCTTGAGTAAAATCAGTCTATAAAAAATGCTTAACTTTTGCGGAAAGTTGATCGACGCGGGTAACTCGTATAGTGAAGCAAGTCTAAACTAACAACCTACGACTGTATATCTCATCAGCATATCGTTTGTTCAGACAAGTAACTAAAACTGACAACAATTTCCATGCGCAAAATTAGTTCTTTGTATGATGAATACAATTCGGTTTACGACAATAAGAAACGATGAGGTTTTTCTCGTTTCGATCAGCGTATCCACAAATTTAACGAGTAAGAAGTAGTCGGGGAAGAATTCGCACCGTCTCCAAAATCGTTCTCTCCTGAATCTGACCATTCTTCAAATGCTCCAAAGTTATTCTCAGTGATACCAATACCATGATCTGCTCTGTTACAGCCACTTCCTCCTCCCCCGAACATCATCACGGAACCATCGCCAGTACTCCACTGACACCAGAACCCAATACGGTTGCTTCCCTGGATGTTGCTACTACAGTGCGCTTGGCTAAACCCTGTCGTGGAACTATACCAACCACCAAAATACACTGAACAGCTTGCAAGACATTTGTCATTAGACCAGATGCTACGATGGGTAAACCTTCCATAACTGGACAAAAACCCTCTAAGGGTTCTGTCACTTAAGCAATTGGAGTAAGTACGTAGAAGGGCGGAGTGTGAGCTATCGTCGCTTCTAGTGATCTTAATGTTATCTCCTTTGACTTTCCAAAACGCTTCCGATATCATATCGTAGTTACTTGCAGTGCTGGTAGGCGAGCCCTGTGACGACTGGATGTCATACCACCAGTAAGCATCATCTCGCATCCAGTTTTTAGAATCAGCGTTAGAAAACCGAGCAGCGAGGGTCCAGCCACCTCCTGACATGTCACAATAAACCTGTGGAATAACGTACAAGTACAAAATTATGACCTGCTGATTGTAAAAGATCCTTGTCTCAATACATTATTGGTAGGGCAGGGGTACAACAACTATTTCGCTGTTTAGGAACTAGTCAGGCTGACTCACTTTTCTGGAGTCGACTCGGCGTCCGAATCAGCAAGGTAATGACCAAAAAAGCTAAATGCATTGATGCATTGCCCATAGATGCACTTATCTCGCCCAATGACATAAAAATAGACCAAGTCAGTTGATTCCGCGAAAAAAGTGCATGTAACGCTGCCATCGATGGGCGAGTGGGGCCATAGTTGTTGCGACGTCGAAAACTGCCAATATTTGCTCTTTCTCACCGCTGGGGTTTTAATAATTTCGTTTGAATATTGCAAGAGAGAGTCGGTCGTCCCTCTTCTTCGTCGGCTTTATCGTAGTCGTTGAGGAAATTCACACTTCTGTGTGACTTGGGCGATATGTGAGCGTACAATGTTTGCTATCTGTTGTTTTTCTCGCACTATGATATGTAACTTTTTTTCTCACTTTTAACTTCAAGGCTAGTATCATTTACAGATTCTTTTCATTATGTTACTTATGGTATTTTTGCCCTTTGGTTTAGTTTGAACCAGAAGTTTGTCATCAAATTTTCGGTTTCGTTTGATACTGATCAAGTAGAAAGAACCAGACCATCGCATGTTATAAATACCGGTCTTCGCTAGACAAAAAACTTAAAGGGAGAAACCGGACACCTCTCTCCTCCAACGGGCAACATGCGTGGCTTGAAATCCCTGTTATTGTGATGGAAAAATTGCATCTTTATTCATTTAAGAGCTTGACAAGTGTAGCTGTCATGGCTTGCATATGGTAGCAACAACAACAACATCCTTTATTTACACACGGTGGGTTTTAAAGCTAATATAGCTTATGGGGTCGTGTAAAAAATGTTAATAAAATAAAATAATAAAAATTATTAAAATTGAATGTAGTCAATAAAAGGTGAAATATGTACAACAAAAGATATGAATAGAATTAATAAAAGACGAAATCACTGTGAATTTGGGAACGACCCATTTGCGGTGACTCTTCATTAAAGTTCAAGTTTCTGAGGGCGTGAGACTTTTTTCGCCCTTTTGGCATAGTCCCGGACGCTGACAGCGGATGGTTCTAAAAGATTCCAAACAATGGATCCTCTGTAAGAAATAGAGTTTTTCATATAATAAGTCTCAAAACGTTTACGCTAACACGATGTTGATGACGGAGGTCATACTTAGACTCTTTCCTTTGGATTATATGTTTCAAGCATGATGGAGTTTTGCCATGTATATATTATAAATTAAGGTGGCTATTTTGACCTTATAAGTGTCGAATAAAGAGTCCCAGTTAGCTGTTTTTCTTACATCCTCAGAGGGCGTGTCGCGCGGGAGGTTATATATAACTCTAGCAGCCCTACAATGTAAAGATTCCAAAGAATTAAATTCATTTTTATTTGTAAAATACCCCCAAACTGGTAACGGATATGTAACCGAGAGTAAAATGACTTTAAAATATAAATCTAAAAGCGAATTCCTGGGTAAAAAGCGGCTGCGTTTGATTAGATTGAGCTTGTTAACGAACCCTCTCTTGAGCTCTGATATGTGTTTTGTCCACTTAAGCTTGTTGTCAATGGTTACACCTAACAGCTTAGAGCTTGAGGACCTTTTTATTAGATGCTGGTTAATTTTTAAACTGCCTAAGGGACCAATAAAATGATTTCGTTTAAGGATCATTCCCTCGCACTTTTTGGGGTGTGGTACCAGGGAGTTATGTTTGCACCAGAGGGCGAGTTCCTCTAGAGCTTTGTTCTGCGTTGCTGTGACCTGGTCTACGGATTCACCAACACCGTACATGGTAGTATCATCAGCATACAGGAACGTCGTTGCAGTGTTAACTGCTTTCGGTAGATCGCTTGTGTACAAGGCGAAGAGTATGGGCCCGAGTACGGAGCCCTGTGGTATACCGTGTGCAACTTTGGCATTCTCAGAGGGTACGCCATTAATTACAGTATACTCCCGATCAGATAGATAATCTCTTAGCCATGCCAGTAAGTTTCCTGTGATTCCAAAGTTGTGCTCTAGCTAGTGAAAAAGAATTGAGTGTGAAACGCAATCGAACGCCTTCTGGAAGTCAATGAATACGGCGCCCACAACTAATTTGTTATCGATTGCTCGTCGCCAAGTTTCAGTCAGGTGGGTGAGTAATAGCTCTGTCGATCTTCCTTTTCGGTAGGCGCATTGGTTGTCAGTGACGAGCGCTTCGTTTTCCGAGAAACCATGTTTCGCAATCATGTCCGCTACACTTAGAAAGGAGAGGGGACTATAATTACTCATTACCGTAGGATCATCTTTTTTGAATACAGGTGTTAGTCTGGCCACCTTCCAATTATTGTAGACTCTACATTCGCGTATGCTTTGCATGAAAAGGCTGGTCAGCGGGCCAGCAACAGCAGTACCTGCGAATTTCAATAATTTGGGTGATATACAATCCGGTCCGGTGGCCTTATTATTCTTCAATAATGTTATTTTCCTGTCAATATCAAGGCTAGATAGATTAATATCGGAAATACATGGTACAGGTTTGGAGCATGGACTAGTCAAGAGTTGTGGTGCTTGGAGTTGCCCAGCATTTAATTTCTCAGCTATTGTAGAGAAGAAACAGTTCATAAGGCTCGCCTTCTCCGTGTCTTTTACCGCTAAGCTGTTGTCGTCACGCTTTAATGGGCCTATCTTCTTCCTTACTTTGGGGTTGGTAGCTTTGGATAATACATTCCAATACGCCGAGGTGGTCTTCGCAATTTTCAGCTGATCTCTCAAGTATGCAGCCTTCGCTTTCCTAAGGTCAGATGTTATTTCGTTTCTCAACCTCTTATAGTCGTCCCATGTATTTTGATCCTTAGTTTCAACAGCTCTCTTGAATAACTTAAATCGGCGATTCATTTTCAACCTCATAGTGTTATTGATCCACGGTGACGATACGCTTCGCTCTTTAATTTCTTTCAGTGGAGCGTGTGAATCGCAAACGCCCCTAAACAATTGATTCCACGCCCAGAGGATGTCATCTATGTCGTCAAACACTGATGCAACGTAGAAGGGTGTTTCTTCTATGTCTGCTTTGAAATTCTCTGTATTAAATTGTTTGAAGTTCCTGACTGTAATGACTGTGGGCGGCGGTCTTTTTCATTTTAACCTGAGGGTTGCATATACTAGGCTGTGATCTGTGATGCCCAGTGGCAATACTCCAGTTGTCCTAACCAATTCCGGCTTATTTGTGGCAATCACGTCAATCAAGGTCTCTGTCGAAGGTGTGATGCGTGTTGCTTCCTTTATCACATTTTGCATATTAACCACATCAAAAATAGGCAGTAAATTTCTTGTTTTGGTTTGTAAGTTAGAGAAGGAAGAACATTCGTTTACTCGAAGCAAGGTACGATTCAAGTCTCCAAGTAGAACAATATTAACTGTTTTCATCCAAGCTTTTTCCATCACGTGCTGTAAATTAGTGATGAAATTTGGCGAGTAAAGTTCAGATCTGTAAATTACTGAAAACAATACATTAGTGGTTACAAATTTGGGCTGAATCCAGATAGCCTCTAAGTCTTTTTTAGGCAGATCCTTTCGATGGGTGACATTTAGGTAATCGGCATAATATAGTACACATCCGCCGCCTTTATGTTCCTTTCTATGAAGGCGTAAAAACTCGAGGCCGTCGTTGTTATGGTCTTGTGTTGCTTTGGTGTGACACCACCGCATTTGATGTGATATGTTGAATCACACGATCTACAGATGATGATACGATGGTTTCGAGCAATGGTCCTAAAGCACTGTTGGCACTATGGTTTATTGACGGTTGGTCCAGGGTTCTCGCTAACGTCTCCGCTTATTACCACGCGTATTAGTTGGAAAGTAGAATCTGAGTTCGTGTACCGGCTAACTCGTGAACGCTCCATAATAGCCTACCACCTTGCTTAAACTTCCAACATGGCGCCAGCGGGTTGTAAGCCCGATAGTAACACGGGTCTGTACAGTTTCACTGAAGTGTCTATATGATGTAATTTCTGACTCAGGCAAGGCTGTGTTAGTTGATTCATCGTCTGAAAGTAATTTCTTCGCGCTTCTGATAAGCAGCACGAGTAAAATAAGCTTAAAGAAGCAGCAAGCGCAGCCTTGGCCGTTCGTCATGACGTGTCACCGTTTTTGTTTCTTTTTTTTTTTTTTTTTTTTTTTACTTCGGCGAAGTCTATTTTAAGTAGCTTGTTTAGTTTCTCTGGCTCACTTTCCTCGATGTGGTTGACAGTATTTTTCTACATTATTTCTGCATTATTTTTCTATTTTTTACATTTTCAATACATTTAGCCAGAAAGAGGTACTTTTTACTGTGTTCGGGTTTTGGAATATTTTTCAAATGTTCTATTTTTTGCATGCAAAATCAAATCATTGTTTGTTGAAAACCACGGCCATTTGCTTAAATTTGGTTGTTAAAACAGCTCTAGTCTGATTGGTTCTCCTTGTTTTTTTTTGTTTTTCCAGCCAATCGGAAACCATTTGTAATTTGCACTAGTATTACAGAAGAACTGCACTCCTTTCTCAGCCAATGAGAATTGAGTAATTTTTTCGTGTAGATTAGCGGAGCTCCACGCGCGAACGAAGTGCGCGCAAGCGGAGCCCCATAGCTAAGTAAATCTACCCATCATAGAAAATTTTGTAATCACGTGTCCGTACACCGCCCGAGCGACCGACCGTCCGTCCGTACCAAAGGCACACTAATATAAAATAACTCAATCAATTCAAGAGGTATGGCAACCCAAATGCAACGGAAGAAAATCGCATGACCGCCCGGACTTTTAGACAGACAAAAAACAACAACAAGGCGTGTCTTTTTCGACGTTATTGTTGATGTTTACACTCACGTGGATAACATAGAAAGAGCTATGGAGACGAATTTCCTTGAAAGAAAACCATGGA